GATATTCTTTGAGATAGGTGGAACCTTTTTTATTTTTAAGTGTTATTAAGGAGTTCACTTACTACACAATCTTGCTGCCCATTCCATATAATGATTTTCTTATACATCTAATCAGAGACATATAAAACTAGAACTATAATGCGGAAAACAAAATATTCTTTTCTCATGCTAATGGCATTTAGCAGAAAAAGCAAGTTACATGATAGGGTTGTCATATGACTCATAATGTCTGTAAAACATTTGCAAACATATGTAGATTCTGCTGGAATATAATGAATGAAATTGAAACAACTTAGGAAAACAAATAAAAGCAATGTTCCAAATTATGCAATGGGATTTGAAAAATCAGTGACGTATATTTCGTTTGTTTGTTTAATTGTTGATGGGGCAATGTGTCACTGATGTCACAGATAATGGTACCATAATCCGAGAATTTGTAAACAAGAGCGTTATATCACGTGATGATAAAACAATGCTGAGGGGCTCATAGTTGCTATGAGTTACTATGTCGTAAAACGTCATTGACATTTAATATAGAACACTCGTAAAATGTGAAGTCAACAAACAAGCTTTTCCTAGAGATGTTTATTCTCAGTATTTCTTCACTTGGCAAATATATCACCATTGTCGTAAGGATTAGAGATGAGTCCCCTCAATACATAGTATGGACATTAATGCAATCATGGGCTTCCAATTCTCATGATTCAATCCACCTATCAAAATTCAGATTAAGAATTAAGCCTTATTGAACCAGTCTTGAAGTTTCAAAAAGTCAATGAACACAGGGGTTTGTGTAAAAACCGGGTTACTGGGTAACTGGGTACACAGTCGACCAGGTACCTAACGTTCCTAGCAGGGTTACCAACTTTCAAAGTTCCACATTTCCCCCGATATATAGTAGCGAATTGACTTGACAGACTTAGCCTACCGAGTGTACTGCTGTTCGATATTTTTACCCTATACGAGACAGAGCACTTTTTAAAATAATCGATCCATCAAACAATGACGTCCATGTCACGGTGCTCATAAGTAGCATATAAGTTCCTAGAAGACGTTGCACATTTTCGTTCTGTACACATCAAGGCAACGTAAACATGAGACATCTATTGATGGTATAAAAAGAACGTTGTTGTAACGTGTCCGTAAAGTTCGTTAGTGTGGAAAACATAACAAACAGGAACGTTTGATTTTTTACTACATTGGTCCATATGTGACGTAACTCAAACGTTAAAACATGACAAAAACTTTGTGTTCTCACTAAGTCGGTTCATTTCCAACGTGTTGTTAACGTTAAAAGTTAACGTTGTTGAAACTTTTTTTTTCGATTTGAAATAAACTCAAAATGTGACGTCAATAATGACGTTCATGGACCGTATTGATCTGACGTTATTTAAATATTCAGTAAAACGTCGATGGATGGTTGAATTTCAACATTGTGGAAATGGCTTCAAATTATTTGTGAGTTAAGGAAACGTTACAAAGATGTCAATATGTTCTCACTAAACAGGTTATTACCGACGTTATTTTAACGTTAAAAGTTAACGTTGTCAAAACGTTCTTACGATGTGAAATAACCTCAAAATGTGACGTCGAAAATAACGTACATGTATCGTCCAGATCCAAAGTTATAAATAAAAAAAATCCTAACCCTGCTAGGAATGTTAAGTACCCGGTTACCCAGTTACCCGGTTTTTTACACAAACCAGAGACATATAAAACGTTTGTCTCTGCACAAACCCATGAACACAGTCCTGAAATTCCACTTTGATTTGAGCCCAAGACCAAATCAGTTTTACTATTCCAAGTCCTTGGCTATTCTAATCTTCCTCATCTTTAGTTAGAATAAATTGAAAGCCCAAATCAAACTGGGGTCTAGGCCTATAGGCCTAGTCTATTGAGTCGACGCCACAGGCCGAAAAGTGATTGACGGGGAATAAGACTCTAGAATTATTTTACAATACAGAGGTTACAAAACCAGCATTTACATACAATTAATTTATTACAATAATATCTTATAAGGTAGAGCACAACGATTGCATTTATAATATCACAACATCTCCAAAATGATTCAACTTGAATTTGAATTGAACTTACCAGATTTCTCAACTTTAACTCCTGGCTCGATTACGCGATCCCTCTGAACGAAACAAACAAAGAATTCCCGGGATGTAGTTCCTCAAGTGTAGCTTAAATGCGTAACGCTTCCTGGTTTGTAGGAAACATGGTGATAATGGTGCCAACGTACTATGCTCTAAAATGTACCTTTTCTTGACATTTAATGACATGATATAGTGATATGCTAATATCTGCATTAATGTAATATATCTAATATGTTTTCAGCTAACAGTTTCAAGACCAGTAGCCTAATGGGTGACCTTCAGACTGTTAGCTGAAAACATATTATATCTTTTGTAATGTTTTGAGTTTTGTCCACCGTTGTTGAGACACTATATATTCTATCATTTACTGAAACAAATTTGTTTAGAAATTAGAGATAGTGGATCTCAAAGTTCACCAAACCATTCAAGCAGGGATTTTTGTTTGGATGATAACTCCAATACCTGTTATCAGATTTAGTTGAAATTTCAAGCGTTATCTGGATAACAAGACCATGTATTTGTGTGCCAATTATACAACCAATTAATAATTAGAGAGATTAAGTTCAGGTTTACATAGATAACGTAGCTTTTATTAATAGGTAGATTAAATGTGACATTTGATTTCTTTAAAAAATAGGTTGTTTTGCTGTGCCAAATTATATACAATGTAAGGAAACAGTAGGTTTTTGGATACGTATTTACAACCGATATGTTTTAAACTCTTCAATAATCGTGAAACCAAAGTACAATTATGAATAATTTACTTCTAATAGATAAAATTAAATAATACAGATATGTGTTCAAAATCAACGGACGGGCACCATTCGTAATCTTGAAATAGGCCTAGCGCTTTCATCAATTGAGCATCTTATGTATAATTTTTCTTAAATGCGTGTCTTTATTGTATAAACATATTTACAAATGTATATTGGGGCTATTTTTCGATAATATGATTATACAACAAAAAAATCAAAAAATAAATAAACGATGAAAAACGCTCGTAACTTGGGGTAAAGTACGCGTAGACGGGCAAGCATTTCTTAATCTAGCGTATTCATTAACGTACTGTGTTCTGGCAAAGTACATCAGAAGTTTGTATTTTATTAGCCATGATTTATTTAATGTATTTATACAGGTATAATATAATGTTTTGAGACTTTAATCTAAACAATTATCGTTTTACGAAAAACGCTCGTAACATGGGGTAAAAGGAGCGTAAAAATCAATCTCGATTACATCAATTTTCTCAAAATATATTTCAATGTGGATAAATTCCTGTCAAGGAGATGTTCCTTAGACTATATTCTCAAATCTGACGAAGTTTTAGCGGAAGAATCGAGCGAGAAAGATATTAAAAATAATTTCCATCAATTTTCTGATCTCATGAAAGATAGGTCAGAATGTTACAATAAGATAGGTTGCATTTTTTCGGTGGACGGAGGAAACCGTATTCTATACGTCATTGTTTTTATGTGTGATCAGAACCATAAAATAGGGATTCAAAAACGCTTTCCATTGGTGTATACGGCTATTTCCAGCGATGTTAGGAACAATGTTTTTCAGCCACGCGCCTGATACCCCAGTCAAAAAATTTTGAAAGGTAATAACTTGCGCTTAAATCATTGTCGCTGCTCAAATTGCCGTTTACACATGCGTGGGGATATATTCTATAGTATCTGATTGTTAAAACTACATTTTAAAACAAAATGATTGAAATATTGCAAAAAAAGTTTTTTTCGAAAAGTGGACGGAGAAAACATGGGGTATTGTATGGAGGGACGGACAGACGGACGGACGGACGGACGGAGGCGTTCCCTATATCCCTCCGAACTTCGTTCGATGGGATAATTAATAAAAAGTATATAGTCTGGTTTTATTTCATAAATCAGATATGGATTTTGAACTGATGATTTCATGAAGAGTTATAAATATCATGGCATAAAAAGCTTATTTACTGGTCGGGATTGAATATATTTTTTTCCTCATGACAATATGATATTTTCATCTGGCCCTCAAACAAAACAAATACAAAGCACTCGGTATTTCATCCTCTTACTTTTAAAGAGATCATGATATACACTTAGATTTTTTGATTTAATGATAAAAAACGTTTACAATAAGGTTACGTTAATCGTTCGCACTACAGTATAGCAACACCAAGCTCTCTCTGAAGTGTATAACATTTCTTTGAGGTGACATGTACTGGTAAATGCCATACAAACCATCGCATGGTTTTCAATAGAATTAGGATGTCATTTTCATCAGAAATTGTTGCATACGATTTCGTGGCTTTTTACGTTAATCTTAAACTCATTTTTGAATACGCATTACCTATACGCATTCGTAACAAACATACTAATAGGGATAGGTATAAGGTTAGGTTATTTGAAATTATTGAAATCGTTTACACTAAGATTAGGTTATTTGAAATGATTGAAATCGTTTACACTAAGGTTAGGTTATTTGAAATGATCGAAATCGTTTACACTAAGGTTAGGTTATTTGATATGATCGAAATCGTTTACACTAAGGTTAGGTTATTTGAAATGATTGAAATCGTTTACACTAAGCCGGGTTAGGTTATTTGATATGATCGAAATCGTTTACACTAAGGTTAGGTTATTTGAAATGATTGAAATCGTTTACACTAAGGTTAGGTTATTTGAAATGATTGAAATCGTTAACACTAAGGTTAGGTTATTTGAAATTATTGAAATCGTTTACACTTAGGCTAATAAGGTTTAATAATTGAAATCCTTCACACTTATGTTATTGTAGTTGTAGCAATTCTTTTCATATGAATAAAAATCGTCCCAAATTTTTTTGTATGTTTTAACAACTCCTTTGGTTTCATGTAACGTTCTACATATTTCACACACCTTTGGCTTTTTATCGCGCATATATGTTAACTTCCACGAGAAATATTCATTATATGCAGTATCGTTTTTATCCAAGTATTTCAGATATTTCGCAAGTGCTTCAGGATTTGGAAAATCGTTAGTGTGAATGTAGGAGCCTGGTGGTAGGATTGTCTTGAAATTGTTATAGAATCCACGGACGACTGGCAATATGTCCATCATGATCGCATTCCTCCAAACCTTCTCAGTGACGTAATCTCTGCAGTCAGAGTTCTCGAACGAGAGGTAGAACTTGTAAGTTGCACCTGAAGATTAAAGTTGATGATTTATAGTTTATAAATTGCGACATTCAACGCAGAATCAACAACGTCCAAAAATTGATTTTAAAAACAAAGATGTTTAAAAAATCAGTTTTTGAACTTGGTAAATTTTAGATAGCTTAAAAATCATCTAATGTAAAATACCGTTTCAACAATATTCTGACTGAAATTTGTTTTTAACATTTACATGACGTTTCATTGTAACTCAATTTATGGCCTGAAATTCTACTCGATTATGAAGATGAACTGGCTAAACATCTGTGAAGTAAAACAAGTTGAGAATAAAATAACTCACGATGGGTAGAAAAAGTAAAAATATAAATTATATAAAACATAAATTATAAATATAAAATATGGCTTTAAAAATCGTTCATTTTGTGGATTGTGGCATCACAATCTAAATTATCATAACTTCTGCAACATTTAAAGGGTCACTTCTTGTCAAAGCCCTTTAATTTCCATTAATTTTGTTTATGTTAGTAGCATAGGTTTTCAACCTATTGCTTTGTAGTTACCAATTGTTGAACGTAACCAGACAATTGGTATATAATACCAAAATTATAAACAGTAATACTTGTTACTTTGGCTTAGTATGAACAACTTTTTCATATCTTGGATTTTTAGCGCAATAAATTTTCACGAATATACAACTTTCCAACAAATATGAAAAAATACGTCAACCAGTTTTCTAGTTATCTTCCTTCCGGACGATTTCATTATACATCCATTCTCAATAAGAATGCAAATTCCAGGTATGAATCTGACGAAAATTAAAGTAGCTTTGAATGGTTTAAAGTTGATGTATTTTTATTTGAATATATGTTAAGTATCTAAAGTCAAAATATCTTCATCAATCTCATACCCCTTCATGGAAAAGTCACATGTTGAAGCTTATCTAGTGTTTATTTAAAAAAGTAAGTCTCTGTCATTTACGTTATAGAGGGTTGTCGTAGCAAGAGACCTATATTTTCATTCAACATATTATTCTCATGTCTGTTTTTGTTCCTAACAATAAGGATATATTTTGTCTTAATACTAAATCATACATCAGGCATTTTGAAGAGACATAAGTGGAAAGAATTCACATTGAAGTCAACAATTACATGTGACTTATTATTCCTTTTCAGAAACAAAACCTAAGTGCTACATGTCATTTCAATTTTATAGAAAATCAGTCTGTTAACATTAAATTTATCTTTCTTTTCTGATTAGAAATAGTGTTCAGAATCAATTGATACCCATATCTTGGTGTTTGATATGCCATACAAAATTTATTTGAAATTTGTATATCGTTACACCCTTGGTAACGTATATGATCCAAAAATAGTAACATCGTAGAATGAGTCATATCATATGTGATCATGGTTAAACCATCAACTGGTGCTTCTTTTATCATGTTTACACTGCATTTTAACCAATAGTAACATTTAAAACAAACATAGTTCAGTGGACCATCAAGTAACGTAAATGATGGAGAAATTAACTAACTTTTGCAATAGAAACATTAAAGCTAACACAAACATTATTTATGCACAAAACACGTAATGAATCAATATATTGTCACATACGCTATATGTTGGAATGAATATATACAGGATTAAAGGGACTTGGTCTTTCTTCACACATTTGTAATGCTAAATCCTTTGTAACGTAAGTGATTACAAAACTTACAATCGCAAGATCAAAACTATACTATATAATTTGTGATTATCGTCAAAAAGTAACAACATTCAGTGTCTCCTCTAATATCATAGGTACATATGAACTCCTGAAAACGTTACTTAATCCTAGCTTGGACATATAAATCCCATAGAACACGAGTTTGAATCTCAGGACACAGATATAGAGTTTAAATAGCCCTTTAAACTTTCCTGTTGGAATTGACTCCTCTACTCGGTCAAGACAAGTAACTTAGTCAACATTCGATATTCGTATGTTCATCAATATTTACTAAGAATGGTGCCACAATTGAAGTAAACCTCTGGTTAATTATTTTCAATAAACCTATCAGTAAACGTGTAAATTATAATTGTTATGTTCTGTTACATATTGGTGAAGCAATCTTTGGGATATGACCTAAATTTCTGATTTTCCACTGTGTCCCTGTATACCCCTACTTCAAAAGATATATGTTATTCGTCATTTTTCATTATGAACCAACCATAAATGTATTTTTTCTTGTTTACATACAGAATGAACTTTCGGTTTTCAAATATTGCAAGACGATACTGCATTTATTTGTTCAGGATATCGAGCAAACAAATGCGTGTCAATTTACACTGTAATATCCTACATACTTATATTTCAAGGGTAGTTTTGAAGAATAATCAAGAAAATCCATGTTTTCAAATGGATTCATCCTTGTCAAAGAACGTGAATGAGGATATGCCGTTTAAAAAAATTAACAGCATGTTTCAAGTTCTTACAATTCTTGCTTAAAAAAAATAATGTGAAAGTTGTGATTTCGAATGTAATATCCTACTCAATGAAATTTGTTGATATTTGTGAATTTTTTCTTTCGAAATGCACATTGCTGGATAACAGAACCTTGCCATGCTCGAGATGCACGAAAAGTGTTTTGTTAATACTTGACGTCGTACGGATATTTGGATGTGATTGACGTTTTCGTTAATCTCCTACCACTGTAATTTCCAACTTAATTTTTGGAAGCCAAATGTGATAGTCACGAATTGACATTTAAGTCACACGTTGATGCATACATCATGTGTGTACATTAACTGTCGAATACATGCCAACTTACATTTATATAAATATCCACAATTAACTCAAATCATCAATTCTCGAAACGGTTTATTATTTAACCTGGTGAATTGAATGTTTCATTTTGATTTATAATTATGGTATCGGATTTGAGTATGATATAAGTCGAGGCTTAAACAAAGCAATAAAATTACGTGAAACCTTTTGTGAAAATTCGAACGATTTTTCAAGAACCCTCCTTCTAAGTGATACCAAAGTGCTCCCCGGGAGTGGAAATTTCGTCTTGTGTAATCAAAATAATAGAGCGGGTGGTTTGAATTTTTGTTTGAGTTTATAGTTTACATCTATAAATTGAAAAACATATCGCCTAATTGAGAGGTACATGCATATTTTGGCGATCTATCATTATAAAGGGCTAAATATTCTGCAAAAACAGGAGTTGACACGCTTACATTTGGAAATGAAATTTCCTACATAATCGTCGACTCGTGTTTAAAAGTCATGAAAACAAGGTTGAACACAAAACGTTGACCCAGTTACTGTCTATTCTGCATGGGTTCACTAAGGGAAATATTATCAATGACTTTAATCGTTTACAGTTAAGTTGTATTCCAAGAAACTTATCAATTTAGAAATGCAAAATGTTCAATTTTGTTATTCAATTATAAAAAATGGCACCTGTAGAGAACAACGTTTTCAAAATTTTTTAAAACGGAGATATTTGCTTATGCGACATTCATTGGCATGTGTCAGGGAGTAAATAGGAAGAATATGCATTTGATTCTATATCTTGTTCCAAAAGGAGTTTGTTAAGGAGCGGTATAGCTTAACGTACTTTTATCATCCCGAACTCAAACATTTCGAATACTTATTTGTTGAGAATGGAATCGAGATGTACTCAAAATTAGTGCGTTAAAATGTGTATTATCATCTAAATAACCACCTCACAAATTATTTTGGAAATCAAAGATGTACGATTTTTGAGATTTTTATTTTCGAATGTTGACTTACTTACTTGGCTTGACTGTACTACACACTCAAAATCTGAGACTCTCAGCCAAATAACGTAACATTCTAGAGACCATTGGAGATTCTTATTTTCTTAAAAAATAGTATTTATTATCATCAGTATCTACATGCAGTGCCTTTTCGACATACCAACAGTAATTGTAAACTGCAGTGAAAAAATCGCCAAGATGTAGCTCTTTATCTCCACTCTCAGTCTGCATGATGGCCCTGTCAGAATACTCTTGGATAGCTATGTTGTCTCTTCTTGTATGTCATTCCTGGTTTGTTTCACTTTTGTGCGGGGCGCTTTTAACACTGTTTATTTGCTTCAACAAATTTATATTCCTTTGCTTGTGGTAAACGTCGAGTACTCATTTCATTTTTGTCCAGCCAAGCAAGGCCCTTAAGCTTGTATCACCTTCCATCGCCTTTAGTCATATTATATCAACTAGACTTGAACACTCTTTCAGGCATTTCCCCGCCAGTCATGTTGCGTCTGCTTCAACTCTTCAACTACGTGTTTTCCTCGTACTAATCTTCTCCTCAACTCTAGGGATATCACTATGTTAAAGTTTGCATCGCATCACTTTTCCCCTGCACTCTTTGGTGTTTTTGGCGTGCTTGGACCCTTGGTTCTATTTTTCTCTGCTTCTGTAAGATCCTTTGGAATGATTTGTGATTGTTTTTTCCATGTTTATCTATGTTCAGGGAGCTTTGTTTTTGTATGGGTACGTACGTCCCCAAGTTCTACGTATCCGTTTTCAAAAGAGCCATGCATGTCCTCTTGCAAAATTCCAGGCAAAATTTATATGAACTATTAATTGTGTGTTACTTGTACCACTGCCATAAACACGGTCACAATCATTGTTATCGGCATTACTTGGGTCATCGCTAACAGTCTCTCTTCTTTTTCATTTGTCTCCTGTATTATTACGCTATCTGAGACTAACATAACATGTCTCGGGCGCAATGACATAATTTTTTCTTTTATGGTCTTTATCTTTTTCAGATAGTGCACTCGGCTATTGAGACAATGCATTTATGAACCCGAGCACGCTCTTTTTTGGTGCTTTTTCCTATCACTTTAGTCTTTTTGAATTTCAGCAGGATTCTTTCCCATCTACGAAAAGTATACAAGTTGATAAATGAACATACCTGTAAAGATTTGACGACAGAAAATGTGTGCAATAGAATTTATCAATTACGTTACCTATGGTAACGTAATTTATGACATAGAAAACGCAAGACTATAGCTTCAATTCAAATTGAATGATAGAAAAGTGTTTTTATATTCATTTTCACATTTATACTGACTGTCTTTATGCCATAGATAACATCAAATTAACACTACATCTTCGTTTTACAAGAGAGATACTATATTAGGTGTGATATATACCTTAAATTGTGTGGATTTACTCTACAAAGGTGGTAGTGTTTCTTTATTCAGATTCAAATGAATATGAATACTCAAATTTCCCGCTTTATAAACTTTATTCAGAGCTAGGAGTATGGTAACCGTTATTTTCGTACTACTAGGTATCGTAAATGATGGTGTCGTAAATGATGCAAATACCCTTTTGCTGGCTGTATTATATTCAAACAATGTCAATTTAGTTAAAAATACTGATCAACAAGGATCACTCCTACCATACAATAAGGTGATATAACATTAATTTGCTCAGACACTTATTGCCTGTGAAAACTATGATCACGTAAATGATTTTCTTATCTATAACTTCATGAAAAACGGGAATTATAATTTTCTGGCCCCAAAATCTCAACGTTTCAAATATCAACTTTTACGACTTTCTATTAAGTATTCAAATTGGAATCCAGATACGTATATGGCACATATGAAACATTTATTTTTCACCAGTTTTTATATGATTTATAGCACAGGGGGGTTGATATAAAAAAGTCTGGCGACATTGGTCAAGGAACAGTTTCAACATGGTTAAAATGTCAAAATGATAGTTTTTGTCATTTAACCAGAAGCTGGGATCGTCTTGTGTATAATACACCACTTTATATGGGATGTTATGCATGAAAAATGGCACCATACAATCCTGATTTTTGATATGGCGACAGTCACGTAACTGATGAATAGCCCTATTCTAGTACACATAATAAAATATGTGTAACCGAGAAATCATATATTACAAACGTGCTAGGTAGAGGGTCATATATACTATTTATATATACAACAAAAAGTGATGTTGGTAATGTAAATGCTGAGATTGAGCCCTGGGTCACCTATTTTGCATTCTTATTGAGAATGGGTGTATATCCCTATCGACTACTTCGTTTGTTGTGTGTAATAAGCATGAGAGCAGTAACTAATTAAAGGCATATACATTGTAACATTGTACGTACCAACATTCTTAAAACATTCATATTCTTCTACTGCTTCTTTTGAACGAGGACAGTCAAGCCATCCACATCTACCATATATGTCAACGGGAATAAACTCCTGCAATTTCTGCACGTAGACTTCGCGCCTGCTCCTTGTGTGACAATGAGAGACAATCCACGCCACTAGCTTAGTCTTACCCCTTGTATAATCAGGGAGTACTTTTGGGGGGTTAGGATTAATCTAGAATGTGAGAAAATTAAATGATGTCATTGGTATAGTAAGATTACAATAGCATACCCGTTTTACCAAGGGGAGGTGGGGTGGGGGGAGGCTTTTTGAAAGGTTTGGCCGAAAAACCACGGACCTGGATACTAGTAGCGTTTATAACAACATTTAGTATTCATTCGTAAAGATATATTTGAAATATATATTGAAGTAACTAACTTTTATTCGCGTGTGCAACTAACGGCTACCGGATTCACTTAGCTCGTATTCGCGAATGAAACTAACGCCTGTCGGCTACCGGATTAACCGAGTATTTTATTGGAAACTCATTTAAATATGAATAGTACTTGCCACTATTCCATTCATATTTAAATGAGTTGCCCATAAAATACTAGGTTAATCCGGTAGCCGACAGGCGTTGGTTGCATTCGCAAATACGAGCTAAGATGTAACAGAGTTGATAAATAGCTGATAGTCAGCTACAAGGGCAGGATAACATGAAGGTATCGAGTGTTTATGATGTTTTTTTTGTGTCCTGGAGGGTTGGACATTATAACGCACAGTGGTGCATTGAATCGGTATTACATTTATTAAAGGCTATTATGCTTTGTTCTTGTGAACTTAGTTTAAATAAATAGCTTTGCTTTGTAACAGAATGGTTTTTTGTTCTTTCCATATGTAACTGAGAGTTTTAGAAAGTCGTTTTTTCTATTTACTCTACCAAGATTAATTCATGAAATATCAAGAAAATGTCTCGTCGTTTGACAAATTTTTGGTGTGTACAAAGTCAGAGCAAACGTAAACCAAAATCAATAGATTAGATGCAAATAGAAATAATCTTGATTTAAGTACGTCATTAATAATTCAGAATTCAGAAATTTCTCCATGTAAAATTAGATCTAGGAATGTGGTTTTGAGATATATTTATCAACTTTGAAAATTTGATTTTCTTTGAAAATGTTACTTCTAGGTCGGGAAGATTCCCCATAAACCCCATGTTATAAAATCACAAAAAGTGAAATATCTTTTCTTGTACTGTACAGATAATATTTTCTTTTCCGGGAGATATTTCAATTTGTATAACTTTCAGATACATAGGGTAATATGAAAAATGAACCATTAAAGCTGATGCATATTCAAGTTTAAAGGAACTTCCTATATACCTGACATGTTATCTGACCCAAATAAGCCGGTGGTAAAACTGTTAACTACCTACTCGTATATGGGTAATTAGAATCGTTATTCATCTGTAATTACGTTGTTGATGTGACAAAATATTACAAGATTTTACAAGAATCGGGTCCTTAACATTCAGATTGATTGGATTGACCGTAGTGGTGGTGGAGGGACAAGCTTCAGAAATGCACCGTAATATTTTTTAAACTTACTGTGTAGAGACCATGATACATGTGAAAATCAGAGTCCAACCTGGTTGTCATTGTGAAATTAAATGCATCGCTCATTCCTGGGTACTTCCTTAATCGTATATTAGTTGGTGGTTCGGAACATCTAAAAATCCATTTTTGGCTTGGTGATCTGTACTTTGGAGGCCCTCCTACATCGTTTAGATTATTTACTGTACAGGTGTGGAACATAACTACCTGAGCCTGTTCTATTTGAGAACGATTGTTGATAACTTCACAATGAGGTACGTCACAGTCCTTGAACGCGTCAGTCCCAAGGGGAAGACAGCGATGCCCGAAACACCTCGTCCATAGCAATATCTTGATTACATCTGATGTGTTTGTTACCAAACTTTTATTCAGTATATCATCTGTTTCATCGAGTACTTCTTTTTTGGCAATCACATCTGCAGTACTTAGATTCACAGCTGCAGTATTAAGATTCACAGCTGCAGTGTTAGGATTCTCAAATACAGTATTAATATTAACAACTGTATTGCTGTTAATCGAATTTCTCTTTATATTACTGTATACCAATCTGCTAACTGCAGAATTATTTGTTGTTAAATATACAACCCAACAGTATATAAATGTTAGAACAAAAACAGAAAAGTAAAAAACATTAAGTTTGTTCATCTTAACTGCTGAGATCTGTTATTCAACTAATGCAACTTATCTTGATTTCACGTGAAACTGATTGAGAATGTAATGACCACAGGCATTCACAAATGTCTATAACTGTATGGACATTAATGCGATGTATGTAATGGATGACATTGAGACATACATGTTGCTGGTTGTTGTCTTACATGTTTTGGTGTCCACAGTAACATATACCAGTCAGATTGTTTTGCAGGACTAGAATATTAATAGCTCAATAACTATTCCTCAGAAGACAATCTGGCCAGAATTTATACAGTTATCTTTTTCTGCATGGCTAATGCAACAGAGGGTAGCATTCGTTGTTAAGAGGCGAAAAATATTAGGAAGAAAAAGCGACGAGGCGAAAAATATGCAAGGAAATATGAACGTAAAGTTTGAACACCATATTAAATACGAACTTAGTTCGATGATGGCAATAGAAGAAAACGAGGATCACCTTTTACGTGATGAGATTATGCACAACTGAATCAAGAAAGTTATACAAACAACGAGACAAACAAAGACAAACATCGACAAACGACGAGGCCTCGTCTGCCTCTTCATGCCTTCGCTAAGGGTCGAGTGTCAACAAACTCGATGATATATATTTGTAGCTTTATGTGATTGAAAGTTAGCCAGGGAGTTTTAAAAATGTCATGTTGCATGAAGATATTATTATTATAAAAAAGAAAAACTTTAACATCTCCAATTTGCAACCAGTGTCTATTATTACAGTATAAACATTATAAAACACCACGAAGCATCAAGTTTATCTTTTACCAATCACTTTGGTTTTATTTGACTCGACAACTTTCAAAAAACAAATTCCATTGACCCTCCCTTTTCATCATGTTTCCGTTGGCGATTTGGATTATTTATCAAAATCTCTGTAAGATACATTATCATAGTTTAAGCAATTATTTTCAAATGAATAAAAATCGCCCCAAATATTTTTATATGTTTTAACAACGCCTCTAGTTTCGTGCAATGTTCTGCATAGATCACACACCTTCTTCCTCGTCCTGTCATGTATGTATGTTTTCTTCCATGAGAAATATTCATTATAAGCGGTATCGTTTTTGTCCAAGTATTTCAAATATTCGGCAAGTGCTTCAGGATTTGGGAAATCGTTAGTGTGAATGTAGGAGCCTGGTGGTAGGATTGTCTTGAAGTTATTATAGGATCCACGGACGACTGGGACTATGTTATACCTAATACTCCTCCAAGGCTTCTCAGTGACGTAATCTATACAATCAGAATTCTCGAATGCTAGGTAGAACTTGTAGATTGCACCTGAAAAATACATATAATTCCGCTTATATATCCATTCGGATAACATGGTATGCTAAAAACACCAAGGAAGATCTTGAGAATGAGGAATATTAACTTCGTAAATAATAAAACAAATATTTCATTCTATGTTCAGTTAATACCTCAGCTTTCAGAAGTTCAATATTTGTATAATACTTGCAGGAAAGTAAATCTAAAATAGTAATTCAATGTTCATTAAGTAAACGTTACTTAGCTCCCTGCTTTATTAAGATACTATTATACCCGATTTGAAAATAATCCAGGAATTTTTATCCGATTTTTATCCTTGAAGATGTGAACTATATTTTAGAAGTGGGTGCAAAAGGACAAAAGCTCAGCAGATCATCCTCAAGTGGGTTCATGATATTGCGATTATCCCAAAATACTATACCTGACTTCGGGATAATTCCAATATCTTAAACCTCATATAGGATAAATCTCTATACGAACCAACATGACGATAACAAGACGAGTCCTTCTTTTCACGAGGAGGACAGCGATGTTTTCCACAGGCGCCATATATATCTATGTGCATTTTCTTTCGTAGTCTCCTCACATAGACTTCACGCCTACCAGGTGTTAAACAATGGGAGACAATCCATGCTACAAGCTTTGTCTTATTCTGTGCGTAATCCGGTAGAACTTTTGGAGGGTTTGGATGCACCTTAACACAAATAAAGACTTTTGTATTAAATGTATATGCATTGGCGGATCCAGGGGGGGGGGGGGGGGGGCTGGTTGGTTGTGCCATGGGGCTCACCCCCGCCCTTGGTGGGCCCAGAAAAAATTAGGGCCCCAAATTTTTGTAGGGCCTTAAAATTGGGCTTATTTTGGGAAAACTTTTTGGGCCTATTTTAAAAATACATACGGGCCAATATTAAGTTAAAATTTCAATGATAAATGTGATAAAATCGAAAAAACAAAAATATTAAATATATCTTATAACATTCGACTTGCACAATCCCCTAAATGTGCAAGACAGTCTTCTGAATGTGTAACACGTTCGATTGTGCAACACCCTGGATCGCAACACAGTCCCCCAGCGAAGGACTTGTACTTTTTATAAATGTTTTGAAACCTTGAAAGTCGAAAAATCTTTTTTACTTACTTTGTAAACACCATGGTAGGCGTGAAAATCAGAGTCCAACCTTTTTGTCATGGTGAAATTGAACGCATCATTCACTTCAGGGTAAACAACAAGCTGCTTACTAGGTGCCTCATAGCATCTAAAAATCCATTTTTGGTTGGGTGATCTGTACTCAGGCAGTCCCCCTGCTTCGACTAGATTTTCCTTGTAGCAAGTGTGGAACATCACAACCTGCGCCTGTTTTAATTGCGAACGATCCATAGTTGTTTCACAGTGAGGAACGTCACAGTTCTTGAACGGGGATGCCCCGAGGGGTAAACAAGTTGTTTCGAAACATTTTGTCCAAAGTAATATTTTAATCACATCAGTCTTGTGTTGCATTTCTGATTTATTATTCACCATCACACTTGCTCCATCAAGCACAGCTGTATTTACCGTCACAACTGCACGACTCACATCTGGAGTACTAAAATTAACATCTGCAGCAAATAGATCCACAGCTGCATTATTAAGATCAATAAGTGCATTTTTGTTAATGTTTTCAATTGTTGAGTATGTTTTCCTATGTTTGCACGATTGATGTTCACATCTTGGATGTTTTCGTTTGTGTTCATTACCAAATAAGGTAGTATTGTAAAATATAACATAATAAAATGATCCTGTAAGAACAATACATAAGTAATACTTTATCATTCTAACCCTCATTCTAAATTTTTATGATTCTAACCCAATTCTGCTTATTATTAAATACGCACATTGACCATAGACTAATGTAAAAGTAGTAGTGAACAAAAAATAAAAGATCATTTATGAGTTTACTACTACTTCAGCCAATGTTGTTGGCAATATATCAACGAATGTATGATTTATGTTTCACAGTGTGTTTGGTCCTCAATGAAAACTGATGAATAGAAGTTTTTCTAAGCAAGCTTATTTCAGGTTCAATGCGCGCCAACGCAGCACGGGATTTTTATAAATAGATAAAGACACATTTCATGATAAATGGAGCTTAATCAATGCAATGACCACTATCGGCAGACGGTAACGATCGTTATTTCTCTCAAAATGTCGATCTCGATATTGGTTTTCATCGTATTAACCATTTTGTTGTGGACATTCGATTTTGATATATCGACCACATCGAGCTTATACGATTTGTAAACTCCACAATATAATTGTTTTACTATGTTGTTTGTGGACACATATTTCACACTAATTACAGGAACTACTTACCACACTGTTCCAAGTCAATGTAACAAAATGGATGAACTTCCTTGATACGAGTTTTTTGTTTTCTCGATTTAAACTTACGTATAAGTCATGTTGCAGATTATCATTCCGCAAAAAGTTAGACAATATAGGCTAGCTTTTAGAAATGCTATCGGTTTGGAATTTGATTTTTAAATAAAGCTGTAATAATGCATTTAGACCATCGCTTTTGTTACATTGACGTAAGTCGTCAAGGTACCATACATTGGTAATATAATGGATTTTCGTCAATGTAACAAAAAGGAGGGGCTAAATATATGAATTGCAACTTCATTTACGATCGAAGAAACCTATTAAAATTAGACTATATTTTCTAGCTTTTTGCCAAATTATAATCTGCAACTTGACTTATAAGTGTGTTTAAATCGAGAAAACAAAAAAACTCGTAACCAGGAAGTTCATCCATTGTTACATTGACGTTTCGTCAAAGTAACTAGTTGTGGAACAGTGTTACCAAATTACCTGACTGATTGTGGAGATAATGGGTTGATGTGGTCGCAAAATTGAATGTCTGAGAAAAAGATGAATTTGATGAAAAAACTGAAATCGACACCCACCGTCCTTCATTTTGAAAGCGAATGTAAGGACCGTAACTAAAGATACTTACCACTGTGAATGGAAACCCCAGAGTTCTGAAAATAGATTAAAATTCAAATTGGCGACTATGCCTGCGAACCTGGACAATCCACATCTCTATATTAAGGACGTCACTGCAGATGGCGATAGCAGATTACACCCAGAGTGTAATGAAAGGGACAGGCTAATCAATGTGTTCATTGAAACTTTTATATTAATTGGATTCTACCATTCTACCATCTTTATATCAGCCCAAAACCTCCTATCACGAGGCACCTAAAAATTCGATTTTTGTAAAAAGTGATTTAATTGGTTCTTTGGTCAACAAGTTTTTTTAGTGAGACTAAACATCTTGATGCTTGCTTATAACATCAATATTTCTGAATTCATTCATAATGTTAAATTTAAATGAAAAAATAGGAAGAATCGTGTAGTTCAGTTAAGAGACTCTATACCATAGGATAGCACAATCAAGACCCCTCTGGACCTTTTTGCATATTGAGTTCCACCACATATTATATTCACCTATCTACTTACATACCAAGAAGTCCCAAGTCCCCGGCTGTCAGTTTGAATATACCGGGAAAATCCCCCTGTTTTCCGATTGATCGTTGAATTTGTTTATCATGAACCGGATTGACTGCCTGGCTCAACGCGCGTGTGGGCGCTCGTGTGACTCAACGGGGATTCCCCTAGCTATCCGAGGAATCGATTGTGTTTAATTCTGAATGTTTGTTGTTCTGTTGATTATTTCAATATTTTGGCAATATCATCCATAAGTTATTCTCAAGATATATCCATGGTGTGTGATATATTATATAATCAATAATAATGGGACATCATTGATTGTCTGGGCGATAAACCTATGGTATAGTGCATCTTTAAAGTGAATGTAAGAACAATTTCAACTATTGAAATTTTACATTTATTGTTTGTTAAATCATATTACAGTAATGACCAATGCACGTCATAAAGCGTAATATCTCCAAATGCCATAGAGTAAGTTCATATCTAAATGTGAGCGTTTAGCTCCTTTATCTTAGAACATTTGACAAATAGTACATTGCAAGACGTTTATGCATATTGCAGGAGCCATTTCTTTAGGCACTTCACAGTTGTTCGTTGATATACACTGTACCCTTAGGTGTCCCAATTGAGACAGAAAAGAACATGACATCAGACGACATAGACACATAAACATGACATCAGACGGCATAGACACATAAACATGACATCAGACAGCATGGACACATAAACTTAGAGCTCAGACTCACAATATAGCAATTATCATTTCATGTTGAGGTAAATATACTGGTATTTGATGTAGTCTTTTTTGATCGTTCACTAGTAGCCCCAACATCTGTAACTGAGATTGTTAAGTGTAATACACTAAATTCTAATGCGATAACACATTTGATGAAGCTGTTATTTTACAAAGTCTTGCTAGTAGCCCGGACATCTGCAACAGAGACTGGACTCCTTCTGCTATTCTCATATGTGTGTATCCTATCTCCTGAAAAATAAAAGTACAATAAAGTATGAAAATAGCCTGTATACACGCTTGGTATACATATTACATACTTGGTATACATATTACACGCTTGGTATATCCAAACACTTCATTGGGTCCAATTTTGTTATCCCATTGGTTCACATATTGAGAAAACTCGAAATGTGGACACCTGCTAATTCTAACATTTTTGACCAGTCCCTTTGTGACATTTGGACTGGAGGGGTTGAATTGTACTATGATCTGTTTGTATTGCTCTTTTCTAGTTAAAGAGAGAATATAGCGAGCAAGCTAAACAAAAAATTGTTTCAATTTTAGAATACTTTTCGCTCATTGTGCATCCTTTATTTTAGGAAAACTAGAGATTTTTACAATAACGTATCATTTTTCTATTTTTATGGTTACCATTTTTGTTATTTGGGAGAATTTAAACAATATTTACCCATTCTTTGCAATTTGAATCTTTAATATCTTCACCAATTTATTACATATCATGAATCTTTTGGGAGATATTGTATTTGGGATTGTAAGGAATAGATTGGTAGGTCAGTTGTATGTTACTTTTAATTTAGGCTAGGCCTAGGCTGAATTCAGCACTATTGGCCCTGGTAATATAAATTCCTAGATGAACCTATGAATTGTATAATATTCAACGTGGCCCATTAAAATAAGCAATTCCTACCTTTATAAACTCTAGTTTCACATACTCTGGCATATTATGTGTTTTACAGACTCTGAATATAATTGTTATAATGTCTTCGGGAGAGTAGCCTAACTTCCAGAGGTGAGCCATTACTTTGTAAGCCTCGTCTATGTTGCCATTGACACAGTGTGAGAGCATGTCTTTTATCAATAGTGGATGTGGCTCATCGCAAACCTACAAGGCATCAATATAGTCATAACCTGACATAACTTTGTAAGCCTTATCTATGTTGCCATTGACACAGTGTGAGAGCATGTCTTTTATTAATAGTGGATGTGGCTTGTCACAAACCTACAAGGCATCAACATGCAAAATGTCACCACCTACCATTTGTTACAGATGACAACTGTCTAATACCAACCAACAAACACCAATATAGCAAATTAAAGGAATGTGGAAAAGCTTTCCAATGGTGTTATACAAAATGACAGTATGTGTTTCATTATTAGCGGATCCAATTAAAAGAAATCCGGAAAAGCTTTCCATTGGTATAAATATGATATTTTTTCTCCAAAGCTATAAAACTTAAAATTTCTGTTTCTGGCCAAATGAAGTTTCTTCCATAATTGCACTGAACTAAGTGGTAATAACAAACAGAACTTACTTTAAAAACATTAGCACTGTTCACAAGTTCAAACCCCTGGGAGGTGGACTGCAGATTATTCAAGGCCTGCCTCATATCTCCCTGTGCTGTGAATACAATGGCCTCCAAACCATCATCTGTATGGCTGACATCTTCTTTTTCACAGATTTCCAAAAGTCTACTTAAAACCTGAACATCTGTTAGCTTGGTATATCTGAGGACTGCACATCTAGATTGTATGGGTTCTGAAATATTAGAATTCAATATTGCTTATCTAGATTGCATGGGTTCCGAAATATTAGAATTCAATACTTGCATATCTAGATTGTATGGGTTCTGAAATATTTGAATTCATTTCAGCATATCTAGATTGCATGGGTTCCGAAATATTAGAATTCAATACTGCATATCTAGATTGTATGGGTTATGAAATATTAGAATTCAATACTGCATATCTAGATTGCATGGGTTCCGAAATATTAGAATTCAATACTTGCATATCTAGATTGTATGGGTTCTGAAATATTTGAATTCATTTCAGCATATCTAGATTGCATGGGTTCCGAAATATTAGAATTCAATACTGCATATCTAGATTGTATGGGTTATGAAATATTAGAATTCAATACTGCATATCTAGATTGCTTGGGTTCTGAAATATTAGAATTTAAAATTGCATATCTAGATTGCATGGGTTCTGAAATATTACAATTCAAAATTGCATCTAGATTGCATGGGTTCTGAAATATTAGAATTCAATACTTGCATATCTAGATTGTATGGGTTCCGAAATATTAGAATTCAATACTGCATATCTAGATTGTATGGGTTCTGAAATATTAGAATTCAATACTTGCATATCTAGATTGCATGGGTTCTGAAATATAATAATTAAGCACTGCATATCTAGATTGCATGGGTTCTGAAATACCAAAATTCAGCAAAGCATATTATTAAGATTAGTTAGACTTAAAGCAATATTGTAGCATGCAAGAAGTCAGTGAAAGGCAAGTATTGTCTTGGCTAAAACTTACCTATTATCTTAGCAGAATCATTGCAGGCTAATGCAAATCTTGTTGTTTTGGAGTAAATCTCCATTGTTCTCCTCAAGGCCTGTTGCGCTCCATCTGTCATACTGAAATATGACAAATTACACATCTAATATTTTCAGACTTGGTCAGAATTTGAAAAACTTATCAAAATATCACCACGGTTCAATGAGATTTCTAATATTCGCAATAGGGTGTAAGGGAATTAAAAACATTCTCAATAGGGTGCAAAGGAATTTTCAAATTGTAAAAATGATGCAATGAAATTTTCAAAATCTCAATCAGGTGCAATGAAAAATCAGGTGCAATGAAATTTTCAAAATCTCAATCAGGTGCAAGGGAATTTCTAGCTCTTGAAACAAGTGAAGAACCCATTTGCTTCAATGCTGGTGGTTTATATTTTCAGTCTAAGTCTAGCTACACAAGCGCATTGTGCAATGGTTCATTCTTTATACTATACTTATTTTATAACTAATTTTGGTTTATTAATATAAGAAATAAAATAGAAAAATAATTATGATAATTTTGGAAGAAAGTAAATTGAACCTGTCAGCCTCATCCAATATGATGATCTTCTGTCGTCCTTTAGGTAATGTGACTTTATGTTGAGCAAACATCTTGATCTTGTTTCTCACAACCTCAATACCTCTAAGAATATAAGAAAACATTATCAAGTAGGGTCAATACCTCTAGGAATATAAGAAAACATTATAATAAAAAAGGGTTAATACCTCTAAGATTAAAAATTTACATTTTCTTCATATGGAATGAAAGATGAATATCTACTCTAAATGTAATGAAAAGTAGTATATATACTTGGCAACATGCTGAATTAAGCATTTGAAAAGGTGTCAAAAACACTTTGATAGTTACATACAACCTTTAAGATTATAAGAAAGCATTATCAAATAGGGTCAATACCTCAATAACACTTATTAGACATGATATATATATCATGCATAAATAATGATAGATGTTTTTCAAAACCTTCTGAAAAAATGTCTCGAAACTCAAATATTGAATATAAAAACTGGCAACTTTTTAAAAAAAATCAAATTTTTCAGACAAATTCTCAAGCAATTGTTCAATTCAAGCCAATTACTATTCAAGGATTCAAATAAAATTTGAAGGGGACTTTAATGATAACCCATCATTTGAAGCATTCAACTTTGCATAGGGCCTTTAATGATTGCCCATCATTTAAAGAATTTTACTTTACATAGGGCTTTTAATGATTACCCATCATTTGAAGAATTTAATTTAGCATAGGGTCTTTAATAATTACCCATCATTTGAAGAATCTAACTTTGAATAGGGCCTTTAATGATTACCCATCATTTGAAGAATTTAACTTTGCATGGGTTTTTTAATGATTTCCCATCATTTGAAGCATTCAACTTTGCAAAAGGCTTTTAATGATTACCCATCATTTGAAGAATTTAACTTAGCATAGGGTCTTTAATAATTACCCATCATTTGAAGAATTTAACTTAGCATAGGGTCTTTAATAATTACCCATCATTTGAAAAATTTAACTTTGCATGGGGTCTTTAATAATTACCCATCATTTGAATAATTTAACTTAGCATAGGGTCTTTAATAATTACCCATCATTTGAAGCATTCAACTTTGCACAGGGTCTTTAATGATTACCCATCATAGAATTTAACTTTGCGTAGGGCTATTAATGATTACCTGTCATTTGAAGCATTCAGTTCCAAAACTGCATCTTTGTAAGATTGACCAAGTAATGCTCTCGCCAGGCAAAGTATGCTTGTGGTTTTCCCAGTACCTGGAGGACCCTGTAACAAGAAACAAAACATCTTCATTCAAATACCACAAATCCCCCGAGATTTTGTCATTTGAGACATCTCCTTCAGGAAAATTTGGTAAATGCACTGTGCGTTTATTGGAGAGAATACGGTAGCTCCTGTTGTGAAGAACCAGTCTGCTAAGATGGTTGTTGTTTTAATATAAAATGTTTGGCGACTATCCAATGTTTCAAAGATTTCTTAGTACATAATATCATGTGACTCCTAAATTAGAACATTTAAATAATATACGTTAAATAACACAACTGCAAGTCTTGTGTCATTAACCATTGGTAGGCCATAATTTCATTCCTGTCCTGTCAACCAAATATCATAACCTTCTATCATTAAAACATGATTCTACATAGATATCACGATAGAGATGTAATACGTAACTCACCGCAATAATAACATTTGGCACATTTCCCTCCTTAGCGAATACTTCAAGTCTACTAATTGTCTCCTCGTTGCCTTGGATCTCATGAAGTTTGACGGGACGATACTTCTCTACCCTGTAAAATAACTCATTTATTTCATTTTATTTATAGGGAGCCAATATTTTTGACTATACATTACTTATAAATGGCCATAAAATCATCATTTATTAAGATATCAATCACCATGAATATGAAATAAACTACACATAAGAAAGATAACTAATAAAAATAGGAAATATATTGCATATGCTTATCAATAAAAAACTTGTTTCACTTCAACATTTATTTTGATGGAAACTTATGATGTAAAAAATGAGGAAATATTGTCTCTCCATCATGTCTAATATAATTTTAATATGATGTCATTTATTTTGATGGAAACTTATGATGTAAAAAATGAGGAAATATTGTCTCTCCATCATGTCTAATATAATTTTAATATGATGACATTTATTTTGATGGAAACCTATGATGTAAAAAATGAGGAAATATTGTCTCTCCATCATGTCTAATATAATTTTAATATGATGTCATTTATTTTGATGGAAACTTATGATGTAAAAAATGAGGAAATATTGTCTCTCCATCATGTCTAATATAATTTTAATATGATGACATTTATTTTGATGGAAACCTATGATGTAAAAAATGAGGAAATATTGTCTCTCCATCATGTCTAATATAATTTTAATATGATGTCATTTATTTTGATGGAAACTTATGATGTAAAAAATGAGGAAATATTGTCTCTCCATCATGTCTAATATAATTTTAATATGATGACATTTATTTTGATGGAAACTTATGATGTAAAAAATGAGGAAATATTGTCTCTCCATCATGTCTAATATAATTTTAATATGATGTCATACAAATAAGACAAAATACATGGAAACAGTATACATAAAATGTTTATAATGTTTAAATTGTACTCTATTCAAATTCTATCACTGTTCAATTATATATCTGCTTAAAGGCCAGCTTTGGGAATTTTTAACATTTTTGGGCAAAATAAAGGCTCACATTTAAATTTCATAGTATGCCCAATGTATTGATAAGAACCTTATCTTTCATTTGACACCAACAACAGCTCAAATGATCCACATCAAAGCTTACAATAAATTATTAAAAAACATTTTCGATCTGTCAAGCTTTATATATCAGGATTTTATCAATGTCAATAAGACATTGAAAGATGGTGAAGTTGTTTGTATTACATGATACATTCATTTTTATAGAAGTGTCGCCATCTTTTAAATCAATAGTAATTTAAAACATGCACTTTGTTTAACATGTGCATGCATGTCTAATGATCTCTGAAATTCAAATGCTTTTTTCTATGTGAGTTATTTTTTTCTTGGTTCAATATTAAAGCAAATCAAACTTTGTGTCATATTTGAGCAAGTGTGTGAGTAACATGTTTCAATGATTATTTTTTTAAATTTTTTCTTCTAAATTTAGTATAGTGCACCTTTAATATGGGATTATTAGCCTTTTGCAGATTATTGACAAAGACATAGACAAAATTCTTGAATTCTGATCGCAAAAGATCAATTGATCGTACTCCAGAGTTTCCATGTTAAAAGTCAAGGAGGATTGGCTACCAGGATTGAAACTCAATATTTTCCAACAATGAAAACATTGAAATGTCGTTATTTTCTGAAATTATAACAGACTATAAACAGTTATCTCGATCATTTTTTGTGAGTTTTGGCATTTTTCTTTTAGAAATAAGACCAAAATTCACAGTTCAAATGTTGAAGTGAACGATATGGTGGCTGTTTGAATCCAAATTTTGTAACGACATGCATATATATGGGGCAAAATACTGATGTTGCAGTGTGGGAGCCCATCCTTCTTGTTAAAAGTGCAATAGGTACAGATCTCGACTCAATTTTTTTATAAAACGTTTTATATGTCTCTGTCAGGGATCATGAACAAAAGTAAGGTATTATATCATGGATCAAGCACTGGCGGATTAGGGGCCCCCCCCCCTTGGGTGGGCCCAGAAAAAAAAATTGGGCCCAAAAAAAATTTTTGGCGAAAAAAAAGGCCTTCAGGCCCCAAAAAGTGGGCCTTTTTGGTCATTACTGGGCCTTTTAAGGCCTTATTTTTTAATTTCAGGCCAAATTTTGAAGAAAATGGGCCTCAAAATTTCAAAATTTGGGCGGACGTTTTTTTCACTGACTTGAAATTTGGGCCCCCCCCTTGTTGATTCCCAGATCCGCCCCTGTCAAGTGATTATATTGATGATCATTCTATCTACATCTGGTCTCTAATGAAAGGTCAAATAGACTCCGATATTCAGTTACTAAAAGTAGATGCGGGGCAACTCAGCTTGAGTCTCGACTTCAGACAGTCTTGTGGTCTTCAAGTTCAAAAGACTGAAGTCTTGACCACAGTCAGAGAGAATGTTTCTGGCGAAAATTCTGGGATTTCAAACACTTTGAAGTTGGGAAACCGGAAGGGCTTACCTTTTTCAATTCCCGAATCTAGCCGAATCTCTCCGAAATTAGCTCATCTTGGTGACTGTAAATTGCACAGCTGTATTCAATGGAGTCTTGTCATATTCGATCAGCCTCAATTTTAAAGTGTATATTTTATTTTCAACGTGATTTCATCGTTTTTTGTCGACTGGTAAGAAAACGCCGGGCAAATGGCAAGATGGATGACTTTTGACCTGACCTTGACCGATGGTGATCACGTCATCAATATTACCAAGATGGCGGTTTCAAAATTTTCTAAAATCGCTTCAAATAATATTATGTTAATTCCTAGCGAGTAAAGATATCTCTTAGTTTGCTATTTCACAATAAGATAACGAAATGTGTAAGGAATTCGTATTTATCAATTAAAACATCACATCGCCATTTGGTATTCGTAAACTAGACGATGAAGATAACGACCTCGAAAAAAACAAAAGAGCGAGTACGGGATTCGAACCCAGGCCTCCAGCGTGCTAAGCGAGGATTTTCCTGCTAGGGGAAAACCTTAAGTCGGTAACACACATCCCATACCTAGGAATTGACATCACAAATAACTTACGCTGGACTACACATATTCAAACTATTGTATCCAAAGCCAATAAGGTGCTTGGATTTCTCAGGCGCAACCTCCATCAATGCCCTGAAAAAGTGAAGGCTCAGGCGTATAAGTCACTAGTCCGGCCTAATTTAGAGTATGCCAGCTCGGCATGGGATCCATACCGACAAAAAGATATTGATATGTTGGAACAGGTACAGAGAAGAGCAGCCAGGTTTGTAACCAAATGTCACTCAAGGGAACCAGGCTGCGTCACCAAAGCTCTTCAAGACCTACAGTGGGAGCCACTGAAGGAGCGTCGAGAGGCTGCTAGAGTTTTCCTTTTCTACAAAGGAAAGCAGAACCTAGCAGCCATCGACGTGCCTCCATACTTCCGCCAACAGATCAATACCAACACTAGGTTGTATCATCCTTCTAAGTTCATACAACCATCAGCTAGAACGGATGCATACAAATTTAGCTATTTCCCTAGGACAATAGCTAAATGGAACACTCTACCTGGTGACATCTTAGACTGTGACAGTCTAAGTAGTTTTAAATCATCATACTATGCCTATGTCAATAACTGCAATTAAATAGGTGTGTTTTTAATATAGATCTATGTTTTAATGTAAAGGGTCCCCAGTGCACAGCAACAAGCCTGCACTACTGGTAAAAGGGGGTGATGTCAACGCGGTAGCCTGACAGTCTCCCCAGGTAAAATGAGTTGTAAACCATAGATCTATTTTTAAATGTTAAGGTTTTAAATCATATTCTATTCAAATTCTATCACTGTTAAATTATATATCTGCTTTATATGGGCTTATTAGCCTTTTGCAGATTATTGACATAGACATAGACGTAGTCTTGACTTTACTTTTCGTAAAAATTAAGCCAAGGTTTATATTTTAAATATTTATCCTTACCAAGGGAGCTCATAGCTATATGTGCTTTTTGTTGACTTCGTAGGTTTTATATTTGTTGCATCGGAAGTAGCAGGGACATTATCAACTTCCATTTGCTCCATATTTCGGATATTTACTGCAAGTTTTCGTCTTTTTCTTGGTGATTTGTTTTCCTCCCGCGAAAATGATCACTTCCGGATGAAATTATATTACGCCGTTTCTGATTGGTTAAATCTATATAAGAAATATATATAAACCAATAGAATCTAGGCTTACAAAGGACATCTCTTTGACTTTTTTTACACTGTACGACTGAGTTCTAACTCCCTGTTTAGTTTAAACCCCGGGGACTGAAGCCTATTTTTTATTTTACACATGTACAACAATTTCTGTAATTTTTGATTGATTTTAAATTGTCTTGGAGTGTCCATGGGCTCTATCAGAGTCTAAACATCCAGACTTTGTGTGATATCCATGTTTCGTCATACAGTGCAGGAGCGGATCTGGGAACCAACAACCGGGGGCAAATAGGTCAGAGAAAACATTTTGGGCCCCTAAAACCTCCAAAAGCGGGCCCAAAACTTGAAATTTTGAGGCCCATTTTCTTCAAAATTTGACCTGAAATTAAAAACAAGGCGTTCGCGACGTGAAAACCGTGGTTCGAGTGCACGGAACGTAGTTCGCGACTGTCAGAACTGATGTTCGCGTTGGAAGTCCAGGGAGGCCTGGATTTATTTCAAAGTGAATATTCGTACTGGGGATTGTAAGCTTATTTCAGTGAACGTGCCAATATTCTCTTGTGATAATAAACATGGGTTCCAGGGGCGGATCTAGGAACCAACAAGGGGGGGGGGGCCCAAATTTCAGGTCAGAGAAAAAAACGTCCGCTTTTTTTTTCTGGGGAAAAAAATTTTGGGCCCCTAAAATCCAAAAGTGGGCCCAAATTTTGAAAATTTGAGGCCCATTTTCTTCAAAATTTGGCCTAAATAAGTACTACCTCCAAGCTTCACTGAGGTCCGTGCTCGACCGACCAGCAAATAATAGATAATAATGCTATGCAAGGTAGAGTTTTTATTTTTGTCCCCTGATCATGACGAATCGCAAGGATATCATAAAACAAATATTTCATCCTACGGGCTGTGGGCAATGTATACTAGAAAAACATTGAGAGATGAACATGTATTGCCCTCCGATCAATAATGAAATATTTGCTCAATATTTCTTTAGTGATCGACCTGCTTTGTTTATTCTGGTTTCTTACTCAAAGACTAGTCTCAACTAGTGTTGTATTTATTCGTGCAAAATGTTAATTTAAGTCTCCCTTAGAATTTACGATCGACATATTAACGAAAGTTTCGAGAAACAATATGATTCTACAATCTGATCAGGAGGAATATTTGGCTACACTCAAAACTCAAAAGGAATATTTAAAACTCAAAACAAACAAAGATCAGATCGATTTTAGGCTTCACTTTGCTATTTCAATTTATATAATATTTATCAATTCAAACAATGATAATCCATTTATTGTTGCTATACCAACGTAAATGTGAATTCTTGGAAGCAGATTCACATTATTTTCAAATCACACAAGTTGCTTATTAGGTAATGTTTGCAGCTTTTAAATAATAATTATTGTAATTTTATGCTGTTTATGATGTTATATTGAGTTTAAAACATTCATTAGAGCTCACGATGATGTCCAAATGAGATTACACAAGGAGGGACGTATAGCGGGTCTTGGAAATACATATACAGGGTGGGCCAAAAAACACCATTTTTTTCAAGACACGACAAGTTTTTTATTTTCCAACCTACCGATACCCCAAATTTTGCAGTTATATAGTGCCAGGGGTTCTGAGTAATAATATAATGTAACAAGTCCTTTAACTTGGATTATATTTCATCTAAAAGAGGAGTTCAATTGGTCCACCACCCTATTTGATGATATATTTTGGTTTTAGTCGCCTTGCTGATTTAGCAGCATCAATGAAATGTTAGCTAAGTTTTAATCAACCTGTCTTTATTGCCAGCTTTAGTTGAGCAATTTTCTAGATTCATACAATCTCCTGGAAACCTTTCCATACCCTATATTCACTGGGGTTTGCATCAGGGCTATTAGCTTGGCGATCATCAGGCCGTATCAGTTTAGGAACATTTTGCAAATTATGCTTATTTCTCATGGCACACCACATGTTTAAGTAAGACGCTGGTGACATATTTTATTCAAGTAAAAGTGTATAATTCATGATCCATGCCTAGATAACAACCTCAAGTTTCATTTGGTATGCAAATTATGATTTTGTATCAAAAATTAAAAAAGTTATAGCATTTTGAAAAAAGTGGCGTTTTTTGGCCCACCCTGTACAATAAGTTTTAGTCCTCCTTTTCCACCTTATACCATGTACGATATTTTACAAAAGTCCAATGAAATACCATATAGCCCATTGAAGAGGAGGGAAAGCCCCAGAGCCCTACCGATGACACATTTTGTCTCTTGCGTATTCTCACCAGTTTTTTTTATTTCTGTTTATCAAGTCATGTTACAAATACATTTTCAATGTTACAATTAAAAAATAGTGTCACATATTTTCTAAAATTGTGGGTAAAATACATTTTTTTCTTATAGCTATTTTCTTCTTCAAAGAGTGTAATATAACATCTAAATTTCTGACATTATTGTCATTTATCTGTCCTAGGTAAACCTTATAAATTGTATATGTAATTACACTGACAAAATAGTTAAGAAATTTAGTGAAATCATCATTGCCATTATAACCTAAAATAATTGTTCTATAAGTTATTCTAAGTTTTGATTAATCTTGTATGAAGTTCAAAACACTCCTGGCCAAAACACAATCAAAAAATAAATGTTTTACTGAATCAGGATTTCCACAAATATCACAACTATAATTTTCTGTTTTACCAAATATAAAAAGCTCACGTTTACTGGGTAATATTCTACTAATTATATTATAGTTAAAGTTGGCAATTTTGGTTTCTTCACAATTTATTTTGGTGTCATTTCTGATGATTCACATTTATTGTTTTATTTTCAAACTTAAACTTAAATCTTTTAGGAATATTTGTATAATTTGAGCTTTGTATATCAATCATATTTTTTATAGATTTAATTGCGTTTAGTACCTGATAAAATTCAGAAATCCAATTTTGCTTATTGACAAGTTTAATTCTCACCAGTTAGTTTTCGAATATATAAGGGTTATGTACTGGGAGGTTTTGGATATGGGGTTTATCCTGAAAATTTATATTCGTTGGAGCGAAGCGATTTAAGAATATAAATACTTTCTATATATGTGCAGTGAAGTGAAGAAGCCATGAATCATGATTGGGTAATGTAGCATGCTGTTCGAGTTGAGCAAAGATTTTTGTGTGTTAGGCCTTGTATTGTTTAGTGAGTGAGTTTTATGAATAGAGAAGTCATTCTGGGCTTGGTCGCCGAACAGTCAACTCCAAAAAATTTTAAGCCAAATTTTTTGAAAAGCTATTTCTGCATTCAAACAGATTTTGCCTATGATTGGGTCTGATGGGTTGAGAGGTGGGGTTATACCTTTCCACAGGGCATCGACTTCAGTCGAATAGCATCTTTGGTTTTAATGGTGATCAACCACCTTGATATCAATCAGGCAACAATTAAACGTTGCATACAAACTGTTTTACTAATTGTACAATATACCCGGTGTAAAAGGGTAGGTGGTCCTATCAGATTTTGGTCCTACTCTCTATTGATTTATATGGTGACCTAATTACAATTATTTTCCTTATTATTTATACACAGTCAGAGCCAGTAAGGGCCGTAAGGAAAGGGGACCATAATCCCCAGGGGACCATAATTTCTTTTACACCGGTGTGAAAGAAATGATGGTCCCCCGGGGATTATGGTCCCCTTTCTCAACGGCCCTTACTGGCCCTGATTGCGTATAAGATAATGATCGAGGGAAAGAGTTGTATTTAGGTCACCATATAAATCAATGGAGAGTAGGACCATAATTTGATAGGACCTCCTATCCGTTTACACCGGCACAGTTTCTGACATATGTACACTTATAATATGATTTACAAATGAGCAGGCCATGCAAACAGTCCTACAAAACGATATCAATCAAAAGTATTGTAAACATCTTGTCACATGTACACATATACTGTGATGATCCTCTCATACTTCATGTGTTATGTGATTATTCTGGAGGATTATCACTTTATTTAAATTGCTCTTACCTTTATTTATCAATTCTGTTTGTAAATACTTCATAATTTAGAGGTTTGTTCAGAATTTTCTTATTTCACTACTACCTTATTCACCTATGTTTGTTGATAGTCTCATAAAAAAAGGTTTATATGTGAATTTCTTACACTAGGCACATTATGTCAACTTTATATCAAATGTTGGTTATGTTATTGTTTATTTTAGCAATATTTAATGTTTATTATGTGTGATGATTATAGGGGGCCAAACTAAGCGATTACATTTTATTTTGAGACTATAAAATTTTGCCTAGATTTGCATGAATCATCAGTTCTTCAGTGAGACTTTGAATCACCGGCAAGTAACAGGAATTAACTTTCTCTCTGCATTTTGGAATTAATACACATACATATTGGATATATAACATCTTATTAGATACACTAACCTATGTGAACGGGTTGGTAAGGTAATGGAATTACTTTTGCTCTAAAACAGAGAAACTGTTTATACTTTTTCCTTGTTGGTGAATCTTCTGATTTCTCTCACTCATTTAGCTTCATTTACATTAGCATAAATTCATATAAACCACGTTGAGGGTTATTATATCAGGTTCTAAAAGAATATTCAGGACCATTTTGTTTGATTACGACTTTGATTTCGATCTGCCTGGTCACGCCTTGACTCAAACTGTGGCTGTACGTATTATAGCAGATTGATTTGAACTTTCAGACATTTTATTTCTAATTAAACCCTCATAAGCATTGAGTGAGCTACGTGTACATTCTTGTGAGAAGCATATCTGATTCATTTGAAATTTACAGATTGACCTACATGTATATTTAAGATTCAATCACCAACTTGGTATTTTTGGCTTTATCTTATATAATTTGAGGGTAATATCTGCTTGCCAGTGTTGATTATTTGAGTCACTAGGATATTCATACTTAAAATCTACATTTTGAACTCAAAACTTGAGAGAACTACCAGCTATTTATTTCACTTTTATATATATTGCAACTGCCTAATTTATTCTATATATCCCCAAGGTCGGGTTTGATTTGGCGTA